CCCGGGGACGGGGCCGGGTCCAAGGCGAGCCCCATCCCAGAGCGCCCACCTTGCTGTCGGACCGGAGGCTGTGCGGAGCGGCGCAACGCCCTGCTTCTAAACCGCAGCCCGCTCCGCCACCGCCTCCTCCGAGCCGGCTAAAAACCCACCCTGTGCCTGATCAGCCCGCTTTGAAAAGGAACGGCACTCCCTCTCCGCGCACCGTCACGGCCTCGTCCCCTCTGCCAGGGTCAGTGCAAGACCTGGTCCAGCTCGTACTTCTCGCAGAACTTGCTGGTGAAGGGCAGGCAGGTGAGATACTCTATCCAGCGCCAGTTCACGGGGTAGACGTACAGCCAGATCACCAGCGAGGCAAAGAGTCCCACAAAGACCAGCAGCGACACGATGATCATGGCCCGCTTGCGGTACTTGTCCACGGTGCCAAAGGTGATGTAGGGCAGGAAGGCGAAGGAGAGCAGGAGGCCGCTGAGGAAGCCAAAGAGGTGGGCGATGTTGTCGATCCACGGCAGGAGCCCGCAGATGAAGAGGAAGAGGACAATCCCAAAGAGGTTGAGGAAGGCTTTCCAAGGCTTCTCCAGGACTTGCCAGCTCTGGAAGAGCTCGACGAAGAGGCAGGCCAGCAAGCAGAGCTGGGAGCCGGCTGGACCCACCTGCAGAGCCGGGGCAGGCGGGGAGAGGGGAGTTAGGGCAGGAAGGGCTGCGGTGCCCGCGGCACCTCGGGCATGTCCCCACGCCTCCGGGGACCATCTCTTCCCGTTGCAAAACACGTTCAGCTCTTGCGACCCTCCGAGCCCCAAGCAAATAATACAGAATACAATTAATTCCATACAAAAGATAACATTTATTGGCAAGCTATAAACCTCCCTGGACCTTTATGTTTCCTGTATTTTTCAGTACAGGCCGGTTCTACCTTTAATATGAAGACACTTTTTGAAGCAGCTGTTCTTGGTGTTCCCTTTTTTTCAACCTGTTTCCAGGTGTTTTATACTGTAGGCGCGCACCCCCGGGCGGATTAGGGCACTCTGCGTGATCTCATTTAAAGCCCGGCAGGACTTTGCAGCCAGCAGATTAGCCATCTGCTTCTCCGAGGCTCCCGCACGCACACCGACACGTGGCGGCGACACGTGACCCGTGTGGCATGTGCGGACCCCGCACGTGGGCCAGACACCTCACCCCTGCGTGGGGAGCAGAGCAAAGGGGGCACCGGCCTCCCGCCACCCCAGGCAAAACCTGCGGAGGGACGAGACCTCTGCGCTACACGCGGCAGCCCTCTCCCCAAACCCCTGCCTAGCCAGGACGGAGGAGGGCAGCCCCGGGCTGTTGAATTAAAAACAACCTTTTGACCATCTTGGGGAATACCCTGGGCTCCTGACCATATTTCATGCCCCGAAATATCTTGCCATAAGCAGGTTTGCTCAGTGTCCAACACAACAAGGCTCCATAGCTGGCCTGGGTAGGAGAGCTAAGAGGGTTCGGGACTTCCCAGGGCCAGTCCGCAGGGCAGCGAGCGCGCTCAGCCCTCACCTCTGCTCTGTACGGCAGGAAGATGGCGCTGGCCAGATTGCCCGTGATGCCGCTGAGGATGAAAATGAGGGAGATGCGGTGCCAGCCCGCCAGCTTCTCCAGGTCCCTCAGCACTGTCATCTGGAAGGTCACCGACACCAGGCAGTGGATGACCCTGGGGGAAGATACCCCGGGTCAGATCCCCCGGCCCTGCCAGACCCCCTTCCCAGTGCTCCTACCCACTGCTCCAGGGTGCAAAACCAGTTCTTGTAAGATACCCTCTATGGGTAGCACATTTGCAGGGTATCGCTGTAGCTTGGGGGTGTTTCTCCCCTCTTCTCTTCCAGTCCATAAAGGATCACGGTTTAAGAGATGACAGACAGCCCACCGGACACCAAGGTTTCACCATTGCCCTCAGGCTGGGGTGCTGGGTTGTCCAGGGGAGAGCTGGGAGCACGAAGCCGCTGCTCACCCCGCGTGCAGGAACAGGGACAGCCAGAGGCGGTAGAACTGGTCGGGGACCTCCGGGTTCAGGAAGGGCAGGAGGCCACAGACTTCATCCAGGCAGTGCACCTGCAAAGGCAGACACGGGTTCGGGGGCTACAGGAGCTCAGCCCAGACCTCAGAGCCGCCGGGGAGCAGAGGACGGGTTACGCCGATGCCTGGTCGGCTCTGCCACGCGTTGGGTCAGAGAGGGGATCCAGCGTGGTCCGGGGCACCTGCATTGCCCGGTGCTCGGTCCATGTCTGGGATGGGAACAATCGAGCGTCCTCAAGCAGCCACCAGAAGGTGATTTTCCTGCCTGAGACGTGCTTGATACCACAGCAGGTCCTGCTTTTTGCTGGGCAGCGGTGCTGCCTGGGCTAGGCTGGCTCAAGCAGGGGGGCATGCAGCGGCAGCAGGCGTCTGGCCGTGAGCCGGGAAAGCTCTGGGCTTTGGATTGCCCCTGCTGGCGTCAACCCCAGCGTCCGCCCCCGGCAGGATCCGAGGCTGGGCAGCCCTCTGGCGCCAGCACAGCCGCGTGACACAAGCCCCAAGACCCCCCGAATCGCAGGCTGGGCTCCCCGCGACGCCCCGCAGCCCCGCTCACCTGCGAGCAGAGAGGCGCCTCCCCC